TGACAAAGGGCAGCGCTCTCACTACTTCCCACTTCACAGAAAACCAGCTCTGAGAAGCACCTGTAAATACTTTGTAGAATTCATAAAACCTGGGGTGAATCAGAAGAAAAAAATGCCACCCGGAGAGATAAACTCTCCTTTTACCTGAATTTCTATTTCTTCCTTACAAGGCTCCTCACAAAGCCTGTCCCTGAGCAGGGACCGCAGTAGACCAGTCATCATGGTGGAGGAGACCACATGGGTGACCTTCTGACCACTGGGACGGACGCCTTTTGCTTGGATATTAGAATTCTTCTGATAACCAAACACATATCTTAAAGAAACCAAACAAACCTATCAGTTCTCAGTAAGATAGCTGGTAAGGAGAGATGCTAACTAGCTAAAAATAACAAAGACATACATACCTCAACAAAGGATTCTCAATGAGTTTTAGCTTTTGTTTCAACTGTTCAATCTCCGAATACAATTTTAACCCTTCCACCATGGAGATGTTTTCCTGCTCAGAATCAGAGCTACAATTTGACAAACTGCTTCTCAGATTTAAAAATTTCCTGTAACTGTCCTCACACTGAGACAACAGATTGTGGTAGTCAATGATAAGTCCTGAAGGAACTCGGTCTTCAAGTATGTCATAATGCCTGAAAGTTAAAGAGCAAATTGAAATCCATTGCCTTTTCAGCACATTTTCCTGTCATTAAAACAGCCCATTTAGTCCTCAAAGATCCAGTAAGAAAAGCGTTTTATAGTATATAACTCAGGAACATATTAAGTCTCTCTGAATAGCGTTCTATTCTAAGTGGAAGCTATTGAAAGTTTGAAGTACCACATCATTAAGGTCACTAATTTTTCTTCTTTTGAGGAGTTGGTTATTTTTTTTTCTTCGATTCATGCATTTTGCTTTAGAAACACTGAAAGTTCATGTTGCACATTTGTAATTATTATTTAATAAGAAAGCATTTTCTTCTTATATATTAGATTCAAAATCTAAATAAGTGGGTGGCAGGGGGCAATTTGGACATGAGTGTTGGGAAGGAAGTATCTTAAATCATTTCACAACAATGTTTAAGATTACCATATTTACAGAATCAATTAGAAATGATTCAAATCATCTAATCCTTCCTTGCATTTAAAGCACTACGGCACAAAATTATGCTGAATATTCCCTCAGGAAGAATATTAGAGAATTTCAAAAACACATGCCTTTGAGATAATGAGGGGAAAAAATTAAGTTGTCATTACTAAACCAGAGAATGATTAAAACAAAATAGTCGTACTGGACATCCTATCAGCACTTAAAATTTATTGATTTGTATACCTTTTCAAATATAAAGACAAAAAAAGTATTTCTAGGTGCAATAAAATAATTTATAAGTGTACAATCAAGTTAATGGACATAAAATTATGAATCTGAAAATAAAGTACAATATTATTTATCATTACCTATAGTTTTAAAATAATTGCTGTATTTCTCAGTTAAAAATATATTGACTAGCTGTGCCTTAGGCAAGAGCTTCTCAATCCTGGCTGAATAGTAGAATCACCTGGGCAGTTTTTAAAACTAGATTCTCAGGCCCCCATCCAGACCAATTAAATTAGTCTCTGGCAATAGAGAGGTTTTTTTCTTTTCTTTTCTTTT